TATATATATATATATATATATATATATATATATATATATATATATATATATATATATAATGTGTATTGTATAATTCTTGATACATAATATGCTCACAAAGATATCTTAAGTATGGGTAGAGTAATAGAAGTGACAAAATAACTAAAATGAACTGTTTAACAAACTAAAGAATTATGGATTAGAATAAAACTCTCGTAAATGTTAAAGAATGTTAAAAATAACCTAAAGTTAATTGCTTAAGAATTAGAGGGAACTAAGGTTTAAAATTAGTGAATTAGAGAAATGGGATTTGGAGGTGAGGACTACTTTTGGACTTCCGATTCCGGCACCCGACTCTGACTGACTGCCTCGCCGGTCACTACTCTACTCCTACTGAGCTCTTGTGATCCCGCCTTTAGGAGGGGGCCTGAATGGTAGTGATGCCATCTGAAATACCTTCCTTTTTGTACCTGGAGTGTTTCAGGTAAAGGATTGTTTGGACAAAAAAAATTATTACTGGCTGGCGGCCTGGTCGGTCGGACGTGACACTTATATATATGCACAATGCCAGGCAATAGAAATAGGCATTAGACCATAGGAACAGAGAATAGAAATAATTGACCAATCCGAATTTCTATTCCCTGTTCTTATTGCCTGTTGCCTGGCATTGTGCATAAAGCATAAAGGCTGCCCTGGTAAAGAAAGTTGTTAGAGAACGATTGAGAACGAATTTCTATCAATTTGTATTGTTTTCTATAAGCTCTATCGTTCGCAAGCGTCAGCATTCTGTCATATTTTATCTGGATCTATAAGAATCGGGTTCTGTTTGTATTATATAGGAAACTGACGATAGAAATTCTATCACTATTGTATTCTATCCGATCACTATTGTATCGTATACCATAGAATACTATTCACATTTGTGAATTCACGAACCAAAATCCATATTCAAAACGATAGAAAACGATAATTTAAAGGCTAGTTTATGATGGTCGTAATCCATTTACTTATGCTGGAACCGTAAAAAATTGACCAATCCCAGTCGATTATTTTTCTATAATTCGACTATGATTGGTCAATTTTTTACGGTTCCGGCATAAGTTAACGGATTACGGCCATCATAAATCAGCCTTTAAGGTGCAGGTCCAATAGTCCGTAAACATATCCGTAAAACAAAATCGAGTCGTGATTGGTCGT